TTAAACAGGGACACAGGAAGTACCTCCCTCTCTCGGGGAAGCTAGGAGCACTGCAGGAGGTAAGATTTTATCTCTGAGCTCTGACCTCTCGGCTTTTCTCTTTTACCTTGGCTCTGTGTTTCTTATTTTAATAATACGATTGGTTACATCTACAATATCTACTAGCTTACCCGCTTTTATTTTTGTGAACAAGACTGTGCTGACCATTCTTTAATACCTTCTTGTTCTGTAATCCCACCAGCAAGAAGTTGAGTTGTCATATGCCTGGGCACATGTCACACTCATTCACATCCCACACACTTAGTCATACACACATACACACACACACACACACACACACACACAGCACCACCACTACCCTCAGTCTCACACACAACACACTAAATCACACATACCATGCACGACCACATACAAACAGATATGTGATCATGCAGGGCTGTTGATAAAGAACTTATAAACAGCACAATCACACATCTAAAATAAAAACAACCCTATGACATGTTTGTGTCTATCCTGTTGTTTCATATGGCAGCCATGTTTCCCATACAGTGTGCTGCCAGGGAATAGATGTTATGGGTGGAGTAAAACACGTGTGTTGAGAAGGAAACACTGATGAGAAACTGTGTGTCTGGGCATGTATATGTGTGCAGTCTTCGGGCATAGAGACTTTGATGATGGTTATTACACAACACCGAGAAGTTTCCCTGGAGATTTCATTACACAGGATTAATTAAATCATACAGCAATGGTGACTCCATAGAGGTGTCATAGCCACAGGAGTAACTCAGAGTTGGTTTGGCTCTGCACCAGCCCTTCCCTACACTAGGTGTCCTTTAGTGAGGGGCCTGCTTTTCTGTGACCATCTCTAGCATTCATTCCTCCTCCCTGCCAACTAATTTTCACTTCTCTCCACCCACCTCCTTAGTCCATGTTAGGATGTGCAAAGAAGCAAGCACATTACAGAGGCAGAGACTCTTTATGGACGGTTTCTTCATTTTTCTGAATTCTAAAATTCAAGCACATCACTTGATGACTGTGTGAAATCTATCATGCAATAGAGGGTGTGATCATCCCAAGATAAAGGTCACAAGCTTTCCTTTTGTGGAAAACACACAACTAGGTAGTCAGCAAAACCATTTCACTAATTATTCTTCTGGATGAATCATTGGTACTGAGTGTAACTTCACCTATGAATATATAAACACATGTCTCCATTGAGGTAGCCTTGGTACCTGTACCTTCCCTGCTGTCTTGTTAGAGAGGTAGAGCCTGACTGGCAGGATTGCTCTGAGATAGACTTGTCCTGTCATCTCCTGTAGTTTTTCCTCTCTCTCTCTCTCTCTCTCTCTCTCTCTCTCTCTCTCTCTCTCTCTCTCTCTGTATTTGTATGTGTATGTGTGTGTGTGTGCGTGTGTGTGTGTGTGTGTGTGTGTGTGTGTGTGTGTGTGTGTGTGTGTGTGTGCTGCCCTCTGGCTTTGTCCAGGCCGGTAGGCTGCTGGTGTTGACTGTGGATGGGAGCCACTGGTTCACCATAAAATCTGTTTTGTATGAACTGTACCACAGAGGCCTTGAGTTAGTGGTGATGTTGTCAGAAGTGGGAGGGCAATGGGGAAGATCACTGAATATGGTAGTTTGAAATAAAATGGCCCCCAAAAGGACCAACAGTATTAGGAGGTGTGACCTTGCTGGAGTGGGTGTGGCTTTGTTGGAGGAAGAGTGTCACTGTGGGACTGGGCTTTGAGGATTCTTATGCTTAAGCCAATCTCAGTGTCTGTTTACAACCTGGTCCTGCTGATCAAGTTGTAGAACTCTCAGGTTCTTCAGCACCATGCCTGCCTGTATGCTGCCATGTCCAGGCATGATGATAATGGACTAACCTTTTGAAACACTAAGCCACCCCTATTAAATGTTTTCCTTTGTAAGAGTTGCCTTGGTCATGGTATTTCTTCACCAAGAGACTGTATTATATGAGGAACAGTCACTCAGCTTCTCACTCTCGGGAGGGTTTTGACTGAGAGTCAGGGTTGTTGCTGACACTCAGTGGGAAACTCTGGAGGTCATTATGCTTTCTCTATGACATCATCTTTCACTGGGGAGGAGTCTGTTTAGCAAAAAGCAGTTAATATCTTACCCACAACAGAGAGTTCTGTTTTTGTTTTTGTTTGTTTTTGTTTTAGGCTTTTGTGGACCCTTTGGATGTGTGCAACTTAGTTGTTACCAAATATCTTTCCCTTCCACGTGAGATGGTCGGATGGTCAGCAGAGTGATGTCTTGCTGTAATGTTGAAGGAAGCACTCAGGGCTCCAGTCCCTTTCCCGTGTGCCCCATCTTCTGCACCGCCTCCCACATACCCTGACTGTCAAACACAGTGGGAATTATTTTCATTTGTTTGTTAAGCAATTATTTTCTCATGGAGATCACCTCTGAATTTCTCCAACTCCCTGTGACAATGGTCTCTACAGGGACATTTCCATTTGGTGTCAGGCACTGACTTTACTTTTGACCATCCCATCCTGTGATATTCAACTTGGTCTCCCTGGTGAGATCAAGGGCCACCAGGGCTAGTCACTTTCCCAAGTGTGTTATCTGTCCCTTAGCACAGGAAGGGAGGCCTGATTTGGATGTTAGAGGGAAAACGGGTTTTTATTAAACTTTTTGTCATTTGTGTTTGTGTCTGATCCAGTGAAATATTTCTTGCCAATTTACTTAGGAAGCTTTACACCTCTCCACTTGTGTGTTGTGTGTTCAGCAAATTTGTTATTTATAATTTTCAGGTTGTTTAAAAAATACTAGTTTCATATCCATCCCTTCAAATCACTCTGTTATTCCATCCTTAGGATCTTTGCCTACAAAAGTGCTCCAGGAGACAAGTCTGAACCTTTTAGAAATTTTTTGAAATTATTTTTAATAGATGTATGTAAGTGATGCATTATTTTCTATTTACTTGGTTAAAATTATATCTAGTTATTGGTGTAGCATACTGCTACTTATCTTGTACTTTGATTGGTAACAGATCACTGACATGTTCACAGGCAGGAGCTTGCAGAATTGCTGTGCTTAAATAAACCAAGTTGTTTTCCTGATGAGGGTTATTCAGCAATATTGGTGGGAGCTCACCCACTGACTCCTGCTCGGGACTCCAGACATATATGGTATTGTCTCCCGTCAATGGAGTCGGTAAACCTGTGTAATACAGTGGGATTCCATGCAACAACAAGGACTTTTTGTACCTTTTTTGAGCAGGCCCACTATAGCTCTTTTAACACCTGTGGCCCTGCTTTGTGTTCCAGGCATTTCAGGATTCAACTTCTTCTGGTTTTTCTCAAGTGATTGTTTGTTTTTTGACAGAGATACACCTAAGTATACTAACCTGTTATTCTAGAAAGACCAAATAGTGACAACCTCAAGGAAGCAGAGCTCATGTTGACTTCTCTACTTGGATGGGCCTCTGCTTTTGAATGGTTATCAGATGGCCAATCACTACTGTCCAGTGACAACACTGTCAAAGTAGCTGGCTGGATATTACAGCAGCATCTGGTCCAGGGAGTCACAAGTTAACTTCTCTGGTCAGGCAATTTCTCAAACTGTACCTGACACTGAGCAAAGCTGCAGACTCGTCTCTGAGGTAGAGTATCCTGCTCAGAGTCATTTCTCCACAGCACCAGACCCGCAAAGGACCAGACTCTATCTGTGAACAGTTGATTGCCTTCCTTCTGGGGCAGAGCTGTGTGGTGCATTTCAGCCTAACTGAGTGTTTGTCTGATTTCCCAAGTAAACTGAAGCTGGCTTCTTCTCTACTGTATGCAGAGTTGGAATGTAACTGTTGTGGTGGAGCTGTTGCACAACATTTCAAGTTGAGGGGACCCACTGCTTCACCTCCCCAGACAAGCAGAACTAACTCCTCCAGTTCTGGAACCTGGGAAGGAGGGAGGCCCTGTACCTGGATGGAGTTATTGGCCAACTCTTTTCTAGGTTATTATAGCTGTTGCTTGGTTTCTACTATAGGATCCACAGAGGTGGCAGTCTCTTAGTATGAGGATCAGGGGCCAGTGTGTTTTTTAAAAATTATTATTATTTTATGTTAATTGGTGTTTTGCCTGCATGTATGTCTGTGTGAGGTTGTCTGAAGCCCTGGATTGAATTTTCATACAGGTGTGAGCTGCCACATGGATGCAGGGAATTGAACCAGTGTCCTCTTTAAGAGCAGCCATTGGTTCCAACCACTGAGCCATCTCTCCAGCCTCCATCCCCTTTTAAATTTTTTTCAGAGTCAGCTTCTATTTGCATTCTTAAAAGGACCAGATATTATTTCTCTGAGGTCCACAGAGGTGGACACCTACATGCCCAAACCGCGTTACTGGGTCATCTTTCATGGATGAATGAAGTCAGTATTGGCTTCCTAGGCCAAGCATTACTAGCCCCAACATGTTTTTTCTGGAATTGGTTGAGGTTGCATTTTTCCTGTTTGGGAGGGCTTAGATGGTTGCACTCAGAAATTGGGCCACAAAACACAGTCCAAATTCAGGTAGTTTTGAACCTTATCTGTCTATCTAAATGTATCTCTGCTTGACCTGGAAAACATACCTAATATGACTACAAGTTTGATTGTAATGACTAACCTCTAACTTTCCTTTATTTATATCCTAATTAGTTGGTAATAATAACTTTCAAGGACTAGCAATTTGCATTAATTGTTATATGTTACAAGTTACATTAATCTTGTTACAATACCTTGAACAAGATTAAAAATATATGTTCAATATTTTCTAACAAAATTAATCTCAAATTTTTATCAATATACAAAATTTATAAAGAGTATACAAAAATCCAATCCAATGTAAAATATTTAAAACTAGTAGTTGCCTTCTAAAGTAGATTCAATCATTTACCTTTTTATTTTATCATATCTATATAAATCAATCTCAAATTTGTAGCAATAAACATAATTTGTATACAATATATAAAAATCCAATACAATGAAAATATTTAAAACTCATAGTTGCCTTTAAAAGTAGATTTAGCCTGGACTGAGTCTACCAGGTCAACCCTGGTCCTCGGGGGAGACCTTGATCTGGAGGAGGTGGGAATGGGGGGTGGGCTGGGGGGAGGGGTGGGCGAGAGGGGGAGAACAGGGGAATCTGTGGCTATTATGTTGAACTGAATGGTGTTGTAAAATAATAAAAAAAAGTAGATTTAATATCTACCTTTTTATCTTATCATATCTATATTTTCTCTTTTTTCTTTTCAGAATAGATTCAATAATCTACCTTTTAAGTCCTCTTTTTCTTTTTTTTTCCAAACAAGAACTCTGAAACTAATCTCCTTTGTTTAGTCTTTTTCCTAACCATTAACAAATAACAACTTGTAACTAACCATCCTAATCAATGACAATTATCCATAACCCATTGAATAGCCAAAAACTACCCACCTAACCTCTTGGGAACGTGTGTGTGGTTTTCTTAGAATTACTTTCTGACATCTGGGGGTAAAGGCATCTTTAGTGGATACTGAAAAGAAAAATTTTGGTTTAGTTGTCAAGTCCTAGGAGAGGGAGCTTTATCATTTGTTGTTCAGTCTCTATCTAATGGGTTTTTTTCAGGATGATTTCAACATTCTTCAGATGTCTGATATATACAGTGTTCTTCAGATTCCTTAGCCTTTATTCTCCTGAAAGATAAAAACAAAAAACCCTTCCCCAACAATAACTATGGGGAGGTTCACTTTCAGCAAGTTATATCTGATTAAATGAAAAGCACTTGTTAGTTGTATAAGTTAGTTTAAATTGGATGGTCATGCTGGTTGATGAAGTATCTCTTCTTCTAATTAAGATGTCTTTCTTGTTCAATTTGTCCTTTATCAATTTTGATGGTATCCATAGCTCTTCTTCTCCTGTATAAACAAATGCAAAATCTTGTCCCCAGTGTAATATATATCCTGGTTTCCATTCTGAGGTCAGCACATCTTTAAAGTATACAGGCTGATTTAACTCTGTAGTTTTTTTTCTATTATCCAACGTCTCTCTGCAGCTGTTGTTCCTTTCTCATTAGCACTGAGATAATTTAAAGTTAATAGAGCATTATGTAATCTATTTCTGGGAGTTGTTGCTACCTCTTTCTATTTATTTAGCATATCCTTCAGAGTTCAATTTGATCTTTCTGTGACTGCCTGGCCTGTAGGATGGTGTTATATTTCTGTAGTATGTTTTATATTGTAATAAGCAAAAAAAACCCAAACAAACAAACAGAAAAAACTGTCTTATTTTACCAGAGATATATGCTGGAGCACTGTCAGTTTTAATTTGTACAGGTATACCCAGGATGGGTATAACTTCTAGAAAATGTATAATTACAGAATCAGCCTTTTCAGAACTCAGAGCTTTTACCCATTAAAATCCAGAATAGATAGCAATGGTGTGGTGTGCATACTTCAATTTTCCAAATTCTGCAAAATGAAACACATCCATCTGCCAGATTTCATTCTTCTGAGTGCCCTCTGAGTTACATCCTGCTAGTATTGGATTCTGACTGTAAAAAGGACAAGTAGGACATTTCCTTACAATTTCCTTGGCTTGTTGCCAGGTTATGGAAAAATCCTTTTTAAAACTCTGACAATTGACATGAATTTTTATAAGATTTGAGGCCTTCAGCACCTTTCCTATCAATAGTTTATTGATCTTGTCATTACCTTGTGCTAGAGGGGCTGACAAACCCATATGGAATCGGATGTGAGTTATGTATAAAGGATGCTTCCTATATCTGATTATATCTTGTAGCTGAATAAATAACAAAGTTAATTCTGACTCATCAGGGATAAATTCTGCAGTCTCAATATGTAAGACTACTCTTTCAGCATACTGAGAGTCAGTAACTATGTTGAGAGTTTCTGAAAAACCCATTAATACCATCAGAATAGCACATAATCTGATTTTTGAACTGAATAATAAGAACTTTGAGCCACATTACTTAAATTTTCTGATTTATAACCTGACTTTCCTTGTTTGTTTGCATCTATATAAAATGTACAAGCTCCAGCTATGGGTGTTTCCCATACAATGTGAGGCACAATCCAATCAGTTCTCTTTATTAGTTAAATTCTATCACTTTGGGATATTTGTTGTTAATCTCCCCCCAAAAATTACTGCAAGCGCTTTGCCAAGGTTTACTTTTTTGTCAATTTCATCATTAGTTAGAGTTACAACAATTTCTGCTGGGTCTATTTCTGCTAATTGATGAATTCTCAATTTTCCTTTTAAAAATCAAGTCAGAGATCTTTTCCACATAAGTTTTCAATTTTTTACTCTGTTTATTTGGTAGCAACATCTATTACAATGTAATATCTTCCCTCTGCATAAAAAATCCTCTAGGAGAATGCTTAGAGGGTAAAATAAACAAAACACAATCAAGCTTTGTATCCATGTAATCCATATGTGCATCCTGTATTTTCTTTTCCACCAAAGCCATTTCTCTCTCAGCTTCAGCTGATAGTTTCCTTGGACTGTTTAAGTCCTTCTTACTCTCTAAGGTTTTGAACAGTTTATCATTATTTTTTTTTTTACCCCAACAGCAGTCTGTAGATAGGAAATGTCTCTGAATAATCTTTGAAATTCATTAAGAGTCCGTAATTGATCTCTCCTAATTCACACCTTTTGGGGTCTAGTTTTTTTGTAGACCTATTTTATATCCTAAATGACTAATAGAATCTCCTCTTTGTATCTTTTCAGGAGCAATTTGTAATGCCCAACAAAGCAAAATTTTCTTTATTTCTTTAAATATTCTTTTTCAAGTATGTACATTTGAATTAGCTAGTAAAATATCGTCCATGTAATGATAAACTATAGATTTGGGAAATTGTTTACATATTACTTCCAATGGCTGTCAAACAAAATATTGGCACAGGGTTAGGCTATTTAACATTTCCTATGGGAGAATCCTCCATTGATATCTCTTAAAGGACTGAGAATTATGATAAGTAGGTATGATGAAGGTAAATCTTTCTTTGTCTTTTTCTTGTAAGGGTATTGAGAAGAAATTGTCTTTTAAATTGATAAGTATAAGAGGCCATGCTTTAGGTAACAGAGTAGACAAAACAATTGCAGATTATAGAGAGCCCATTGGCTGCATTACCTTGTTAATTGCTCTTAGGTCTGTTACCATTGTCCACTTACCAGATTTCTTTTTAATAACAAATGTGGAAGAATTCCAAGGGCTGGTTGATCCTTCAACATGTTGGGCATTTAACTGCTCTTGTACCAGTTGTTCGAATGCCTGTATAGTTCCTCTGTTGTTAAAGGCTATTGGTGAACCCGTACAGGTTTGTCTGTTGCATTTTAAAGGTAGAGCTGTTGGTGTCTTCAAAAGATCATCCACTGTTGTGCCCTGTTCTATTGGAGAAATTATTTTGGCCACTCCACGTAGTTAAAAGGATATTTATTTAATGGCGTAACTCACAAATTAAGTGAAAGGTAGGTCGCAGGGTCTGGGGAAGGTGTATTGCAATCCACCGGTGTTTTCTGGAGCTCTGTACAGTCCACCTTCAATAGAACCCCAAGCAGGTTTCAAGACAGCTACTTAGTGTGTTATCAGCCTGAGATGGGGATCCAGAGAAAGCCTACAATCCACTGGGAGAGAAGAAGTGAAAGAGACTCTGGCCCTCATGGGGTGGAAACTTCAGCCACGAGCAACTGAGGCTTTAGCCCAGGCCTGTAAGGCCACATGCAAGCAGCTTTTTTTTGTGAATTCATGTCACAAACTAGGGCCACCATTTATAAGACAATTTGCTGAATGGCCTTATTAGTAAAAACTCCAGAGCCAGATATTGGGGTGAAACTGAGAGATCAGAGAGGCAGACAGAAGCCAGCCACATTCTTACCACTAGGAAATCCTCATCCAAAGGGAGATTGTTCCTGTTTCCTCGTGCCTTGTATAGCTTTCTGTGTCTTGCCACATTACTTCCTGGGATTAAAGGCGTGTGTCTCCACTGCCTGGCTCTCTTTCTCTCATGTAGCCCAGTGTGGCCTTGATCTCACAGAGATGCAGATGGATCTCTGCCTCCTCAGTGATAGGATTAAAGGTTTGTTGCTACCACTGCCTGATCTCTATGTTTAACATAGTAGCTGACTTTTCCCTCTGACCCCCAGATAAGCTTTATTGGGGTGCAAAAATAAATTATCACCATGGCCTTTGACCATTGTTCCTAGAGTAACTTAATCTGATCATCATCATTGGAGGCAACACGCTTTTAGAGGCTCATCTCTTCATCTTCTGTCTTCTGTCCAGATGTCTGTCCAAAAGCCAGGCTCAGAAAGAAAGTCATCCTGTCTTAGAAAGGATGCTGAAATAACAGAAATTGATCTAACACAGAGAATGTTTTCATTTTGACAGGGACAGTGGCTGTGTAATACTGTTTTACTGGAGTCCTACAGTAGGGCAGAGTCCCAAGGCTCAGTGTCTGTCAGTCAAGACTCCTGAACTCTGAGATCCATGGACTCAGAGCAATGTTGATTTGACCCTGGTCTCTCCTTTCTGGCATAATGTGCCTTTTAGGGAGAGATTTGCTTTTCTGTGACCTCTAGCATTCTCTACCTCTTCTTGGTGACACTCACTGTCTATCTTTCTTAGTTTCCCTTCTAATGAAATACAATTGAGCCTGTGATGGATTTAGAAAATCCTTATAAGCAGCTTCTTAATTTTTCTAAATTTCAACATCCAAACACATTGTTTGAAAATGGTTTCAACAAATAGGTTTTGGAGCCAATGAAGTTCGTTAATTATTACTCTTTTGAGTAAATCATTAACAATGAATTTAATTTCACTTGCAAACATACAAATACAGCAAAAAGTTTTGTCCCTCTACTGTTTCAACCCGCTCTATCAGAAGAACTGGGTTTCTCAGCAGCTGGACTGTCCCGGGCTCCGCTTCTCCCATGGCTCCTGCAGGTCTCCCAGCCTCCCTTCCTCTGTGTGTGTGTCTGCTGCTGGCCTCTGGCTTTGCCCAGGCAGGCAGGCTGCTGGTGGTGCCCATGGATGGGAGCCACTGGTTCACCATGCAGATGGTTGTGGAGAAACTCATCCACAGGGGGCATGAGGTGGTGGCAGTTGTGCCAGAGGTGAGTTGGCAACTGGGAAAATCCCTGAATTTGACAGTGAAGACATACTCAACTTCTCACACTCTGGAAGATATGAACCGTGAGTTCAAGTATTTTTCTGACACTCAATGGAAAACTTCAGAACAAAGTATGTTTTCTTTTCTGACAGGCTCAGCCAAACATTTCTTTGAATTATTATTTTCACATTGTAGAGATTTGTTTAATGACAAGAAGTTAGTGGAGTACTTGAAGCAGAGTTCTTTTGATGCTGTGTTTACGGACCCTCTTGATGTGTGCGGCTTAACTGTGGCCAAGTATTTGTCGCTCCCTTCGGTGATCATCGCAAGAGATATATTTTGTCACTATCTGGGAGAAGGTGCCCAGTGCCCTAGTCCACTGTCTTATGTTCCCAGAGGTCTCTCGAAATTCACAGACACCATGACTTTCAAGGAGAGAGTGTGGAACCACCTCTCCTACATGGGGGAGCGTGCATTTTGCCCCCATTTTTTAAAAACTGCTACAGACATTGCCTCTGAAGTTCTCCAGACTTTGGTGACTATGGATGACCTCTTCAGCCAAGTGTCTATTTGGTTGTTACGCACAGACTTTGTGTTAGATTTCCCCAGACCTGTGATGCCCAACATGGTGTTCATTGGTGGGATCAACTGCCAACAAAGAAAGCCAATTTCTAAGGTATGTTATTTGTTGTTTAGCACATGAAGAGTGCCCTGGGTTTCGACAATAAAAAAGAAATTCTTTACTGAGCTGTAATTTATTGTTTATATCACTGCATATGGAATTTCTTCCTGGGTTGTAGAATTGTTTTGTGCCTATTCACTAATTAGGAAACAATTCTATATAGGTGCCCTATTCATATGTCCATGTACACCTGTGGCAATAGTGCATATACGTTCCAAGCTACAATCTAAATTTAAATATCTATGTATGCCTTCCTATTTGTGTGTGTGTGTGTGTGGCAGGGGCAATGCAATTAGGTAGTGGAGGGGACAAAGAAAACTTTCCTGTGGAGTGAAAGAGACAATAATGGTACACATGTCCCATGAAAACAGAAAAGGGAGCACTCAGAGGTAGAAGAGAACATATGGAAAGTAAGGGTAACTAGAAAAGAGTGGGGTAAACAGAAAAGACAAAATGCCTGGAAAATGGATTAATGCCACTGAATACTCTGTATGCTAACTTTAAAAAGTGATTTGAAGAGACAAAAACTTTCAAGCTACATTATACTATTTTTTAGAAATTTTTGAGAATTTTCAAGCCATGAAGCAGTCCTTATTTGTCGGCTGCACTCTATAGGAGTGCACATGTGATTTTTCCAAATTTTAAAAAATCATTGATATGATATGAGCATTGCTAAGTTGTTTTAGAGGACCTTGTTCTCGGGGTGTCCTCCATCCCTTTTTTCTCTCCACCTCTTTCTGCCTCTCTTCCTCATGGTTACCTGAGCTCTGATGGGAGGGATTTGAGAGAGCCGTCTCATTTAGAGCTGTGTTCTCCATGGTCTCTCTATGAAGTGTCTCTTGCTGTGTGTCTCTGTACTTGCTCCCATCTGTTGCATGAGGCCCCTGGCAAGGCATCTCTGATGATGGCTGACTAAGGCACTGATCCATGAGTCTAGCAGAATATCATTATGAGTCATTTAATTGTTATCTTTTCTTTAAGAACAGGAGAATTTGTTTTTACTCTAGCTGTCTGTACTTACAGACTCTGATGTTTGTCACCCAATCACTGTCAGGTATGGGTTCCATTCATAATGTGGGCCTTAATTCAAATCAGATACCAATTGGTTACTCCCACAAGGTTTGTGCCTCCATTTCCCTGGTGTATTTTTTGTTTGTTTGTTTTGTTTTGTTTTTAGAGATGAGATTTCTCTGCATAGCATTGGAGCCTGTCCTGGAACTCACTCTGTAGACTAGACTGGCCTTGAACTCAGAGAACCACTTGCCTCTGCCTCCCATGTGCTGGAATTAAAGGTGTGCACCACCACACCTAGTGTGTTTGCAGGTAAGACAGATTATAGAACAAAGGATTTGTGGTAGGGTTGGTGTTTTCTGTTCTCTTTTAGTGACTTGCAGAGTACATTTCCATGTCATAGATACTAGAACATGGGGTGAAGGTTTCATATAGGCACCAGCTCAACCTTTCCATGTTCATTGAGTTGTGTGGGTATTGTCTTTAACAATGGGGTCTTGGAAGTTTGGGGAGATCAACCTATTGTCTTGGCAACAGCCTGAGTTGTTTGGGATTTTCCATGGGAGCCCTTTGATGCACAACTGAATTGGATTGGCACTCTTCCCAAAAAGGAAGCTTAGTTTGGTAACAAGATATGGCCAGTAAGGGTTCTCTCTACCTTATTATTTGGAGACTTCTTTAGGATTGCCTTCATATATTACAGGAAGTATAAACTGCTCTGCACTAGGTTCTGTTCAGGAAGTCTGTTCCTAAGCCAAGGTACTCAAGGCTATTCC